AACCCTCTTATATTTTGAGAAAATGTGTCACTTGTTAATTTTTTCTATTAAAAACTAGCAGTCAATAGCAAAAATTCAAAATCAACTAATAAATTGATGATAAATTTATCCTTTCATTACTTCTTTTTTCCTCTGTCGCACCCCATATTTGAAAAAAAATAAAATTTATTTGTTTAAAATGAGTTCTAGAGAATATTGGTGTAAAAAAAATATATTTTTGATTAATTTAGGTTTAAGGAAAAAATGAGTTTTCGATTAATTTTTATTTGAAAATTAGTTTTTATTCTTAATGAGTTTTTAATAAAATAAATAAAGAAAAAGGGCCTTAAATGTAGGAACATTAGGCTAACCTGTCTTATCTCTTTTTTTTTTTTTTTTCTCAATGATAGTGCATAAATTTTTCTTCATAAATTTAGAACTGTTAACTGTCCAAAGACTACTAAAAGCCTGGCTCAATCGCACAATTGAGAGTTTCAAGGTTTAGATTACATATATTGGTCAATTCACACAAAACATTATCGTATGCAAGTTCAAAGTTTTAATGAAAGCCTTCGGTGTTAAAGTACAAAAAATTTCTTGAAGCGAGAAGACCAAATAACAGAAGAAAGATACCAAGAAGGTCAAATAACAATCTTGTTAAAATTATGTATGTAGGCACCACAATTAAAGGAAAAAAATGCACCTATTAATCTCCAAAGACTTAATAAATTTGAACTCTATAAACTACATTCAAGAAGACGTGTGAGACCAAATTAAATAATCAATATATATATATAGAGACAGAGAGCATTTTCAAACTATTAGACTTCTCTTTTATCTTCTAGACTTGGGGGGAGTACTCGTACATCGCGCGAGTGTTTAGTATCTGTGATTAGAGAGGATTTTTCATTGAACAAATAATAATCGTACATTTTAGAAAGAAATAGTCATCAAATATGACAAAACTAATAATAATACATTCTAATTACAACACACACTTATACACTTTATTTTATTAATGCTTTTACAATTTTACCATTTTCCAAAGACCCCTATAGATGTCAGTTAAAAATCGCCAAAAAACAGACATAAGTTGTTTAAGGCAAAGAAACATCCTCCAACGGTTAGTTATAGCAACATGTTAATTGTACAACGTGTTAATATGTTTTTATATTAATTGTATAACAAAAGACACACTTCAATTAAACGTGTCTATAACACCATTTCAGTAATTATACCAACACATAAGCTTATATGAGTTGTACTCGATGCAAAATGATTGCAAAATAATTTCATATTCTAAAATACCCAGATATCTCCATAAATCAAAACTTTAAATTTACCAAAATGAAGGCATTTTGATAAATATATCTAAACACATGCTGCCCTTAGTTGTACCAAAAATTAAAAAAAAAAAACTACACAACATTCCATATTTCCAAAAAATTCCGATTAATGCAGTTGAAATTCAAACCCTTTGACCACAAATCATTCTTATATAGTATAAGGGCAAGGAAATGAACTGACAGGTCATTTTAGTCCATATCATTACTTTCTTTTCTTTTCCAAAATGCAACAACAAATTGTATAAATGGTTCAATTTTCATACTTCTCCTAAATAGAGCAATACGATTGGATAGTATATGTTCTCAATTGTTTGGCCCTTCAAATCATAGACATTTACTTCAATTATTTGCTCTTATTCGGGTAATGTATAGAACAATTTTGGTTAATAATAAATCCTTCTTTTCTAATTAAAACTGTTCGATAGATTGTGGTCCGCTCCCTACTCCCCGTGATATATTTCAGTACTCTATTAGCGACTTGGGCGCGTAACTCCATTGGACGGGAATAAAACAAGAGATAATTTCAGAAACAATTGCAGCCATTTTTTTCTGAGGTTTAAAAAATTAATGAAACCTCCCCTAAAAATATGTTTTGGAAACAATTGATGATGTAAGCAAACAAAAAATTCAATAAATATCCAATATTGCCAAAAAAATTATTTTTCTCTCTTAAACTTATTTTCACTTAAAATTTGTAATGTTTGTGAATAAAATCATAGCCTTTTTCATAGCCAAGGTAAGCGTAATTCAAACCTTGAAAGAAGTGGCCCCATTTATAAAAAATCTCAAGAGAGGTTTCTAAAATTATCCCATAAAACAAATAGCAAAAGGTGGTTCGTAGTAGATGATGCATAATGCATTGAACCTTATCGAAACCATTAATTTTTATTCGTGTCTCGATAATGTGTAAGGATCGAAGACAACCTAAGAGAGGGTGAATTAAGTTGATTAAAAACCTAATTAACTTATGGGCACTTTTTGCTCAATATGAAATTTACCCTTTTTTCTAAGTGATCACATAATGAATCAATTAATGAATGAACAAGATCACTTGAGAGAAGTAGAAGAGATAAGCAATGTAAAGATCACAAACGTAACAATAAGTAAATAAAAAGGAAAGAATTGCAAACCAATTAACTACCCAACTCCTCTTGAACTTGTAAATTAATTCAAACAAGTTTCTTCAAGTTGATGAATTACAATCACTCTTGTGTACAAAGGAAAGTTCACCTCCTCCTTGCCCGAACTCCACTCGGTCAAGTTAGAAAGTTTTACTATCCCTCAGGACAACTCTCGCAGAGCTACACTCATGAAGTATTCACTCACAAATAAAAAACTTATAATGAATCTCACACTACTAAGACTACAAATCTTCCTTGGAGAGTATTTTCTCACTAAAATTACTCTAGATCTTTTGTATCTTCAGTGTGCAAAAGTTGTTTGAAGATTCTGACCATGCTCTATTTATAGGAGATCAAGAAAGTGTTTCATTAATGCTTCCAACGGATAAAAAGTAACTGAACAGTCAACTAGCCGTTAGAGTATCGGACGTCCGGTACTACCCAAGCATGCGTCTGACAGCAAGCAGTGAGTTTGTAAAATATTTTTCAATTCTATCGGACGACCGGTATTGTCTTTGTGAGCGTCCGGCAGGTTTCGTCGAGTTTAAACGATCCTATCGGACGTCCGATGCTTACGTCCGATCGAGGTCAGTGAGTCAGGGGAATGTCTTATTTCCTTCGGACATCCGGTGGTGGAGTTTTTCATGCATCCGAAGTTGCGCAATGATTATCGGATGTCCGATCCAAGCGTCCGACAGCTTTCAACAGCCTTTGTCCCTTTCAATTGCACTTGATCTTTGAATCTGATTTGCTTCACAACTGAAAATATTTCTTGAAGAGATATTAGTATTATCCATTGTTTTGTAAACATCAAAAGTTAGGGACCAAGGTCAACATAATGTTCAACTTTCTTGTTTTCACGAAGAAATTTGTTTTTGGCTTAGACCCTATTTGATAATTCAATTCATCACTTAAATTTAATGTAATGAGATCTTAACATATTCAAACCGTTTGATAACAAAAAAATTGAACATTTTAATTAATTAAGTGGCACTGAATTTTCTAACTAAAATTTGCTCCTAAAATTAAGTGATAAACGATTCACTTATTACTGAATATGATATGCATTAAAATGTATTAGATTTAATACTTAACAATTCAATAAGTTAATGTATTCAGATTTCATATTTCATATTTCAATATTTAAACTTCAGTTTTATTAATCGCAACCCTAGAGTCTAGATTAAATTGTTATTGTTCTCTTTGTCAACTGTATACCTATTATTTGGTTCCTGTCCTAGTTTTTTTTTTCTTTTTAAAATTACATTTAAGGTAACTTCATTCCAAATTTAATTCGTTCAAACTTGTTATACAGGAGTTGAATTTCAACCTTCAAATAAACAACGTCACCAGGATTATTCAACTAACACAATTGATTATTGGACCTGGTTGTGAATTTTACTAATGTCTCGCTCCAAACGCATTACTAGTCAATTTTACGCAGGATGCTTTCTTGGCCATCATGTAAATAAGGTTAATCATTCACATCTCATCTCTCTGAACAATTATTTACACAATTTGTTTGGTTTTTCGTCGCATCGCTTGTGCAATAAGGTCTAATAAAATCTTATGCTAAATCTTTATTCACTGATGATGTATTAGACAGTTTTGAGTTCTTCATTCTCTCGGCAGTGTTAGAATGACTTAATCAATAATCAACGGCATTGGCTCATTTATGCAATATATTTATTACATTATCAACACCTTACACGACTGGTCGTGAGGAAAATATTTCTTCTATTCCGATTACTGAAAATATGTTTCTACAATTCCACTGTGATTTAATGCGGATCTGAGAAGATCCAATCTGTCCCTCGTCTGTTTAGTATGAGAAGTACATTAGATTTTCAATAAATATTAATTGTATCGTGTCCACGCATGAGAATTTCAAAACTGGACATTGTACTCGAATTAATTGTTCGGAAAATTTTGGATGCTGCTTGACAACTTTTACATGGTTGGCTCCCAAGGGAATTTAAATAGTGGTCTGCTATGTGATGTTTATCCTGAAATGGCAACTAGAGGGGGAGAAATGGATAATCTGTATGACAAATGGATAACTCATTTCATCAGCACACAACATTCCGAGAAACTATGCAGTTTTGACAAGGTTTGTTTTCAAGCAGTATTAGTGATGTACACCTTGGTAGATTGAGTTTGATTATTCTTCAAATTTGAAGCCCGGTGATGCAAGAATGACTGGCAAAATAATATGGACAAAAACAAACAAAAGGTCTATCCGAGAAATGACAAAATAAGCAGAATCAATCTTGAAAATTTATCAGTGGCAGGGGCTAGTTATCCGAGCAGTTGCAATTTGGCTGACCTTGACAGCTGCTGAAGTTTCGTTCTTTTATGTAACCAGCATGTGATTTCTGCTGCATGATATACTCCTTTTTGCTTTGTCCCATCAACCATTGCTCCTCAACATCTACTGGATTCTGCAGCTGCGAACACACATTCATCAATTATATCCGCAAAAATGGCCTAAAGATTATGGCTCATTGCTTTCAGCCAACTGGTAGTGGATTTTGCACTTTCATATAAAAAGAATTCCACAGTGCTTTCGGTCCTAGGCACATAAAAGGATCGCAATTTCACTATGATACAAAACCATGCATTTCACTTACAAATATTTATGCAGCAAGTATCAAGTTAGTAATATTTTGTGAACGTTACGTTACAATGGTCAATCTGGTGCCATATATGTAAAAACTTTCACAGAAAATCAGGATGAATGTCTTCATCTACCCTTTGATCAACAAATTCAGTCTCAAATGCATTCGATCACACCCTTGATTGGATTGATTTTTGTTAGCTTTCCCACTTGCAGGCAATAGATTATCATCTTCTTCTGTTATGTAACAACTCCATTTTGAAGATCTCCATCCCTTTATTGTTGCTGACCGATTTCTCCCTGGCACCTCATCAGAAAGTTTGACATTACCACCCTGAACTAAACAGCCTCTCCATTCGAACATTCCATGCATTGGCTCCTCGAGCTTCACTTCTTCCTGCCTATCAGCAGACTTTCCTTTAATTTCTGCTGCATAATTAGTCCTCTCTTGTTGTGTCCTCTAACCCTTGCTCCCCTATATCTACTTGACGCGCCAGCTGCCAAGACAATTTCCACACAAATTCATCAACTAAACCACAAACATGGCCTGAAACAGTAAAGCTCTTTGGTTCAACCAAATTTGTGGACATTTCAATGAATCCTGTAAATCAGTAATTTATTCTACACACTTTCAGTCCTAGACACGCATAACAGCAAGGATTTGGATATAAAACAAACATACCATTCGGCATTTGATCTATTTACCTTGAGAACAGCCTTTTGTTCTGACAAGGCTCTCACCAACATCCACTAGAATATTCTTCTCATCGCCATATTCACAATCTTTTGCGACATGATAACTCTTCAATTTAGGCTTTTTAAAAACTGGTTTAGGCATTTCAGTCACTATTTTGAGCTCAAATTCGTCCCCTGAAAATCAAATTACACAACAAAACTGAAACATAAATAATTGGCTCATATATAAACTCAAAACTCATCAGATTTACAAATTCAAATCCACTGAACAAATTTAATCAATCATTTAACAGATTCGATAACAAATGTAGTCGTTACAGATAATTAATCTCACTTGCACCTAATTGTAAAATCAACATGTAAATGGCTTGAGCATGAGATAGAAAAACCAAACCAGGATTTTCGCCGATGTTTGGTATTTCTGAATCGTCCTCTCTGGATCAATGTATTCGGTCCAATCGGTCCTTTTCAGCTTGCCATTGGGGGGAATTTTGTCTTCAATTTCTAGGGTTGCTTTGTCGTCATCCGCCGGAATCACATTTGTTCGGCGAATTGGCGAGACATGTTGAAAACTCTGGACGAATTTCCGAACGTCCTTGGCCATATATCCCTGAGCAAACACCTTGCAGACCGATTGCTTCTGTTGCAGACCACACAAGTCCACTTGTTGCTACTCTTCTTCCGTTGCTTCACCTGCATATTTTTCAATTTCGATAGCAAATCGCAAATTCTAAGTATTCAACACGCACTAACACATTGTGCTGCGTGCCTGTAAACTTGAATAAGTGATAGGAGTTTGATTTACCTGCATGGTGGAGCATTGGCAGCATTGGAGGGCGAAAAACACGTCGACGACGCGGCATGGCGGATTAGATGGTAACACCGCCGGCGATTGTTTTGGGTGGAAAGGAAATGAAGTTTGGGGATATTTTTAAACTCCTAGTAATTCTGGCGGATAATGGGGAATTTGACTTTTAGGAAATTGGCCAATTAGAGTCGTCTGGTCTCTGGCCTGGTCGTGAAGGTTGATTGAGTAAAATGCTTTAGGCCAAGAAGTTGGGTTTCATTCCCTCTGTTGGTCTCTGAGTAAAGCTGTTAAGTCAATCGAGTAGCTCGAAAACTCGTTAGAGCTCGGCTCGTTAATTTTGGTTAACGAGTCGAGCTCGAGCTCGAAACATGCTCGTTTAATTAACGAGCCGAGTTGATATTCGAGTAGTTCGTTAGAGTTCGTTAATGAAGGGCATATTTGTCATTTTAGAAATCAAAATTATAAAAATTAAAAATTATAGATTTTTATTAAGGTTAATTTGCACGAACTCGAGCTCGAGCTCGTTTGTGATAAACGAGTCGAGCTCGAGCTCGAGTCACATGTATATTTAACGAGCCGAGTTCGAACACATTTTAAAGCTCGTTTTCCTAACGAGCTCGGCAGCCAAATACTCGGCTCGATTAACAGCTCTATCTCTGAGTAATGGCCTTCTTGCCTCTATTGTATTTTTTTTTGGTCGAAATGATAAGATTATATTGATTGAAATAGGATTATATACAGGCGAGACTTGCTCGATGCTTTACAATGTGCATTTAGCACAATAGATTGGGGTTGACCCACTCTATATCAAAATAATTGCTCAAAGTTTGAGCGCTAAACAAACAGCTTATATTATTCCTTTTATATTTTTCTATGCAAAAGGAGCATTTGTAAAACATATTACTTAGCTCGTGGATGTCCTCTATCAGGGTAGCTAGCCACACGTCTATTGTTTTTTTTTTCCTTGAATTTGCTACAAAAGGTCTGTACCAGGAACTCCAATACATACCAGCCTCCAACCTTGTTCTGCTGCTTTGATCAAAGCCCACTTTACACTTTCAGCTTCATGTTGATGTTGGTTTGAGCTTTCGCTTTCCTCATTTTCCATCCCATCACATCCTGCCCTCTACAGTCAGCTGCTACAATACCATACCCAATGGACTTTGATGTCTTGCTCCACTTGGTTGCTATTCTTATCTGCATTCCTGCTGTTCTATTGTCTGGGATTTGGCTATCTTCTTGTTCCTCCATTTGAAGTGGCGTTGTTGTTTTTCCAATGCTACAACTCTTAGCCTTTTTGATCCATCATTGAACTCCATCCATGCATTCCAGGCTTTGTTGATCACTTGTGCTGGATCATGTTTTTGTTGTTGAACTCTTTCTCGTTCCTGTTTTTCCAAATTTGCCAAAGAATATATGCTGTAAGAGATATATGGTCCAGCCCTGATCTCTCTGAATTGCTTCGAATAATGCAGCCACCAATTGTTGAAATTCCCAGTCAGCTCCTGGATCCCATCCCATTGTACTGGTGCAGCTTTCCAGATCTCATTTGCTTTCTTGCATTTCAGCAGTAGATGTTCCAAGGTTTCTAGCTCCTTCCCACACCCTGAGCATATAGGGTCTTCTTTTGACATTCTTCTCCAGATTAATTCTTTGACTGGAATTGCTTCTTTCAGGCCTTTCCATGTGAAGATCTTAACTTTGTGACTGATTCTTAGGCTCCACGCACTCTCCACATGTCATTCTTTCTTGGTATATTGCTAGACTCAATCCCTTCTCTTCTCCCTCTGCCCTCTTGTTCTTTTTTAGGCTAGATTATCTTGTAGCCAGATTGCACCGTGTACTGCCCTTTTTGGTTTTCTGTCCAGAAGATGCTGTCCTCTCTTCTTGTGATGCTTATGGGGATCTTGAAATGTTTTCAGCATCTCTCTATTTGAAATTTTTGAAGATGAGATTTCTATTCCACCTGTACCCTTCTATCAAGTTAGCAACTTTCTAAACTTGGCATTCTTTTGGCTTGGTTGTGACAGGCCTCCCTAAATGTTGGTTTGGAATCCATTGATCTTCCCAAATTCTTGTTGAAAGTCCATTCCCTATCCTTTTCCGTATCTCCCATTCAAGCTCTTCTCTTGCACTCATGATGCTTTGCCAAAACCATGAGGCATTGTAGGGAGTTTTGCAATCCAACACACTACAATTTGGGAAGTACTTGCTTTTCAGAATTTTGCTGGATAACAGATTTGGATTTTTGATGATTCTTCAAATCTGTTTAGCCAACAAAGTCTATTGAAGCTTTGAATCTCCTGGAATCTCATGCCATCTCATTTTTCTCCCTTGTCAACTGCTTCCAAGCTACCAGTACGCCTTATTCTTGTTGTTTTTTTCTTCCTACCAGAAATTAGAAAGCATTGAGCTTATCTCTTTACATAACCTGCAAGGTAATTTGAAACAAGACATTGTGTAAGTAGGCATTGCCATAGACATAGATTTGATCAGAATTTCTTTCCCAGCTGAACTTAGAAGCTTATTTTTCCAGCTTAGCATCCTTCTTTTAATGTTATCCTTTATGTAGTTAAACATGTCCTTTAGACCTTGATATCACCATGGGTAGTCCTAGGTATTTCTCTTGCAATACTGGTTGAATACCTCTTAGTTCCGCACACACTTCCTCCTTTGTTGCCAAATTCACATTTTTGCTAAAAAACACACTAGATTTGTCTAAGTTAACCATTTGACCAAATTCTTGTTCATACATCTCTAGAATCCTCTTCAGCTCCTTTGCTTCTTGAGAGTTAGTTTTGCAAAAGATCAAGGAGTCATTAGCGAGAAAAAGATGGGTTATTGAGGGACCATGTCTGCTTACCTTCATGCCAGCCATATTCCTTGTTTGTGTTGCTCTCTTCAGCAAGCTAGAGAAGCTTTCTGAACATATGAGGAATAGATAAGGTGACAGTGGGTCACCTTGTCTTATCCCTCTTTCTGGTACAATGTATTCCTTACACTCTCTATTGATGTTAAAGAAGAAGGAGACTGTACTTATGCACTTCATAATCCATGTTATCCATTTGTCACAGAACCCCATTTTTTCCATCATAGCTTACAAAATGCCATTCTAGTCTATCATAGGCTTTAGACATGTCAAACTTCACAGCTATAAATCCATCCTTACTGTGTATTTTGTTTTTAAGATGATGCAAGTACTCATGAGAGATAAAGATGTTATCAAGAATGTGTCTCCCAGGGATGAAAGCAGACTGATTAACGCTGATGCAATGATGCAAAATTGGTTTGAGCCTATTGACTAGAATTTTGGCAATAACTTTGTAAATCACACTATAAAGGCTAATGGGTCTGTATTGCTTGATGTTAGTAGGGCAAGGACCTTTGGGATCAAGGAAATGATGGTATGGTTGATAGCTTTTAGCATATTACTAGAATGAAAAAAGCTTTTTATGGCATTTACCAGGTCTCCTTTGATTATTTCCCAGAATTTTTGAAAAAAAAGGGTGGGACATCCCATCTATACCAGGAGCCTTGTTGCTATCCATAGAGAAGATTGCAGATTTGATTTTCTCTTCTGTTACAACTTTAGTTAGATCCTGGTTCATAGCCTCAGATGTGGATTTTGGGATTCCAGCTAGAATCTCATGATTACTACTCTCGGTTGATTTGGTGAAGAGTTGCCTGTAGTAGTTACCAATTTCATCTCCCAGTTCAGCCTCATTTTCTGTCCATGTCCCATCTTCCTTTTGTAATTTCTGCATTCTATTCATTTTCCTTCTACCGTTAACCTGTGCATGAAAGAACTGAGTATTCCTGTCTCCTTCTTGTAGCCATCTGAGTCTCGCTTTTTGGCTCTAAAACATTTCCTCATCCCTGTAAGCTTCCTTCAACTGCATTTTGAGAGAAGCCTTTTCCTTCCTGATACTTGCCAATGATGTTCCTTGGATCTAATCCAACTTCTCCTTTTTACTCTCAATCCTTTTTCTAGAGTTCTTGTTGCTTTTGTTGCTCCATTTAAGTAGAGCTATTCTGCAATTCCTCACTTTTGTCTTAATCTAAAACATTCTGGACCCTTCTACATTCTTGTCCCAAGCTTCGTTGATTACCTCAGATATCCTTCCCTTTGAAGTTATCTTTTTGTCAACAAAGAATCTTTTTTTCCTGTTCCTTTCCAAGGGGTTAGTATTCAATAGTAGAGCACTGTGATCAGACGCGTGGGACTTAATGTGAGTGCATTTTGCCTTTTCAAAGTTCAGATTCCATTGTACATTGCTCAGTGTCCTATCAAGCCTTTGTTTAATCTCACCATCCCCTTCCCAGTTATTGCTCTAGGTCCAAGGCTGTCCTTCGTAACCAATGCCAACCAACTGATTCTCATTGATAAAGTTCCTGAAGTCATTGAAAGTCCACTCTTCTCTTATCCTTCCTCTCCATTTCTCCTTATTGGAACAAATGTCATTGAAATCCCCTACTATTATCCATCTATTACCCCATAGATGCTTCCTCCTTTGTATGACTGACCACTGTTGTCTTCTTATTGAGTCATCACAGCTAGCATAGATCCCAACCATCTACCAGTCACTGCTGCTGCTTTGGTCCTCTATATGAGCCTCTAAAGTGAAGGCCGTGTGTTGCACCTGCAGTACTTTGGTGTGTGCACTCCAGTATAGTACCATACCACCTGTTTTTTCCATTGATTCCACTATATAGTTATGTTCATAGTTT